AAAAAAAAAAAAAAAAAGAAGAAAAAGGAGAAATGACAATGCAAGTGTCACATGGCAAGGGTTCAAGTGGAAAGCTCCTGGCTAAGGCATGTAATTTGGGGGGCATGTTGGATAATTTTGAGCCTTTAAAATTCACCTTTTATCAAAAAAAAAAAAAGAAAAAGAAAAGAATTGAGCCTTTAATTTCCATTCTTTTCATAAAACCTTAACCAATTACAACGGAAGGAAAAGTCCTTTTTGAGGGTTTCAAAGCTTTAGATATCAAAATGATGGCAATCATTAGACTAAAGATAGCAAATCATGATCAAATTCAAGAGCTAATAGATTCAATAAAGAGTGGCCATGTCTGTTTATCCTGAACACTTTACATTGTCCTTAGCCACCCCTTTGAGCCTAAAGAAAAGGTAATCATTCAAATTATAAGAGCCAAGATGATTTTCTTGTGAATTTACCTACATCATGAACTTGGGAAGTGAAGAGAGATTATGAAGGGGAAATACCTATGGAAAGAGATTTTGAGCCTTCATATCCTTCCTTTTGATAACTTAACCCAAAGCCACATCACAAGCCAATAAAAGTCCTTATCAAAGAATTTAACTGCTTTTAGTTTGATCACGAATTTTCTAAAAAAAAAAAAAAAGAAGAAAAAGAGAAAGAGAAGAAAAGAGGGAAGAAAATAGTGACCTAGCAAACTAAATGTTTCCTTGACTTTGAAAGTTGAAGATCCACTGATGAAAGGCATTGTTTCCCTATCCCAAACAGTTAGCATTGTCCTTTGCTTACCCTTTTTGAGCTAGAAAAAGGCAATCATTCAAATTTACAAAAGCCAGAATGATTTTCTTTTTATTAACCCACATTAATGACCAAGGAAATGAGGAGAGAAATGTGAGGGGAATATATGAAGAAACTGATTTTGAGCCTTTATTCCTTTCTTTCATAATAGCCTAACCCCTAGCCACATTACAAGCCTATAAAGTCCTTATTTGAGGATTTGAAACTTTCTTTGTCAAGGAACACTAAAAAAAAAAAAAAAATCCTTTCTCTAATAAGTCCAAGTAAGTTAGTATAACTGAAAGGTTGATGGTTTGTAATTGGTCTTCTAAACATTGAAGGTTAGTTTATGGGAAGGAGATAGATTGGATCCATCCACCTTGGCATGGAAGTAGACATTGTCTCATATGCTAAAGACTAGATTGGTGGAGTTGCAAAGAAATAAATTCTTGAAGCAAATACTTTATAGCTTGAATGCCTTCTAGCTTTGTTAAAATTGTTGCATCAAAAGTTGTACAATTCAAAAATCATGTTTATCTATTTCTATCCATACATATTATCCATGCCTTGGCCTTCTTTTTCTTGTTTAGATTGGGATGCTGATTGGTTATGATGCTTTACTTCAGTTAATATAATCGTTGAAATCTCTTGACAAAAAAAAAAAGAAAAAAAAAAAAGAAAGTTGCAGAGAAAAGCAAAAGCTTGATTCAATGGTCATGATGCTTATCCCCTCTTGTAATGATTCGAGAATTTTCCCCAGTAAACGAGAGATGCTCTCGAGTCACTGAACTTTATGCAAAACATGTCATTGAGATTAATGAATGCCCAACACAGAGGACACTTGACTCTTGCTGAGTAAGGACATCCACCATAGGTTCAGGGAAATTTCTTCACCTCTCTTCATTTTACATTATTTTCTATGTGAAAGTTGTCTCACTTGCATCTGTTTCATTATTACAGATCTTTCAAACATCACCTTCACTCGGCCCTTAGCCACATTCACCCTCATTCGGCTCTATTGCTACACAATTTGCTTGATCCTTCGACCATGGCAGCTCCACTGGCTTGGTCATTTGATCGTTGTAGCATAAGCACAAGCACAAGCACAAGCACAAGCACAAGCACAAGCACAAGCACAAGCACAAGCACAAGCACAAGCACAAGTACAAGTACAAGCACAAACACAAGCACAAGCACAAGTACAAGCACAAGCACAAGCACAAGCACAAGCACAAGCACAAGCACAAGCACAAGCACAAGCACAAGCATAAGCACAAGCACAAGCATAAGCACAAGCACAAGCATAAGCATAAGCACAAGCACAAGCACACAAACTTGCTCGGTCGTTTGACCGTTGCAACTCAATTTACTCGGTTAAAAAAAAACCGTTTCTTGCTTGGTTAAAAAACCATTTCCTGCTCAGTTCAAAAACCATTTCTCACTCGGTTAAAAAATCGTTTCTTGCTTGGTTAAAAAACCATTTGTCACTCGGTTAAAAAACCGTTTCTTACTTGGTTAAAAAACCATTTCTCACTCGATTAAAAACCCATTCTTACTTGGTTCAAAAAAACATTTCTCATTCGGTTAAAAAATCATTTCTTGCTTGGTTCAAAAACCATTTCTTGCTCAGCTAAAAAACCGTTTCTTGTGTGGTTCAAAAACCATTTCTACTCGGTTAAAAAACCATTTCTTACTTAGTTAAAAAACCATTTCTCACTCGGTTAAAAAACCATTTCTACTCAACTTACTCGGTCGTTTGATAGTAGCCACTCAAAACTAGCTCAGTCGTTTGACCATAGCAACTCGATTCAATTGGTTAAAAAACCATTTCTTACTTGGTTCAAAAACCATTTCTACTCGGTTCAAAAACCATTTCTACTCGGTTCAAAAACCATTTTTGGCTTGGTTCAAAAACCATTTCTACTCGATTAAAAAACCGTTTCTTGCTTGGTTTAAAAATCATTTCCACTCGGTTAAAAAAACTGTTTCTTGGTTGGTTCAAAAACCATTTCTCCCTTGGTTCAAAAACCGTTTCTTGCTTGGTTCAAAAACCATTTCTACTTGGTTAAAAAATCGTTTCTTACTTGGTTTAAAAACCATTTCTCCCTTGGTTAAAAAACAGTTTCTTGCTTGGTTCAAAAACCATTTCCTGCTCAGTTAAAAAACCATTTCTCACTCGGTTAAAAAAAGCCACTCCTTACTCTGTTAAAAAACCGTCTCTTATTTGATTAAAAAACCATCTTTTGCTAGGTTAAAATCTCGTTTTTACTCAACTAGCTTGGTCATTCGACCATAGCCACTCAAAAATGGCTCGGTCGTTTGACTATAGCCACTCAATTTGCTCAGTCGTTTGACCGTAGCCACTCAATTTGCTCAGTTGTTTGACTGTAGCTATTCCATGTGTTCGGTCATTTGACCATTGTGGTTATATAACCATATATAATCACTTTTTTTTCAATCACCACTTACAATCACCATTTACAATCACTGTTTACAATCACCATTTACAATCACCTTTTGACAATCACTTATTACAATCACTTTTTTACAATCACTGTTTTCAATCACCATTTACAATCACCATTTACCATTTACTTTACTTGTTGAGTCATTTAACTGTTGCGGTTATAAAACCGTTTTCATTTTGCTTATTCAGTCATTGGACCGTTGTGGTTATAAAACCATTTTCACTTTACTTGTTCAGTCATTCGACCGTTGCGGTTATAAAACCATTTTCACTTTATTTCTTTAGTCATTCAACCAGTTTTTACTTTACCTGATTAGTTGCTCAAGTGTCAAAAAAAAAAAAAACAACTATTAAAATTTTGAGTTATTCTTGTCCTTTCTTTTCTTTTCTTTTCATTCTTAACAGAAAGAAAAGAAAATGGGGGCAACTGTCATAACTCAAATTTTAATAGAATTTTATTTTATTTTATTTTTATTTTTAACTAATATATTTTGTCTTTATTTACTAGTTAGGTTCAAAAAAAAAGGGGGGCAAAAAGGAAATTTTACGAAGAAGATTGGAAAAAGAAGATGAAGGAAATTAAGACAAGGGACTCAATTGAAGAAATCAAAAGTTGGAGGGGTGAAGTTCTTTAACACTAATTTTAAGGTCCAGCCTGAAACCATCAAACCCAAACCAAAAACCAAACTCATGCC